ATTGTATCTTTTGAGATGCATATTACTGATTCTTTGATATCAGATGGCGCACGAGAAAGAAGTCAAAGCCCAGGTCAAGTTACGCTTTTACGCTCGGAATGGCGTTCGAATGACGGCTACCCGTAATCTCATGGTCACTGCCAAGAAGACCGGTTTGACAATGAAAACTTTGGAATCTCTTCTTGATACTGAAGGTAAAGAAGGTTCCAAGAAGGTTAGTCAAGCGGATGGCTATTGTCAACCAGGGTGACCGAAATACATTAAAACAGAGGACAACCATCTCCACCAAATGTGCCGAAATCGATGTGGAAATCCCGAACCTTTTGGGTGTATCCAAGTCTGTGCTAGACAATGTCATATTCTGTCATCAGGAGGACTCTTATTGGCCTCTTGCGGAACCATCCATTCTCAAGAAAAAGTTTGACGACATATTCGAAGCCACAAAATATACGAAGGCTTTGGACAATATCAAGGCCATTCGCAAAGAAAGAGTTGCAGAGCTGAAAGTTGAGAAGGAACGCCTCGAAGGCCTCGCAAACGAGAAACGACTGGCGCAAAAGGTATGTGACAAAAAGTTCGTACTAGGTTTAAGTGCTAAACGCGTCTGTTTAGCTACAAGACAAAATCAATGAACTTTCTGCATCTATAGCTGACACGGAGATGGAAATCACCAAGCTTCAAGATGAAGAGTCGCGAATAGTTGCAGAAAACGTGAAGTTTGCTGACCAGGCCGCTAAATTCAAGGAGTATTATATGAGAGCCGACGAGCTGGCAAAAAGGCTGGATACTGACAGATCCGATGCCAAAGCTTTGGAAGAATCCTTGGGAAGAGAGAAAATGCCACCCAGTAAGTTCTCTTTCGAGTAGCCTTGTCTGATATTGTTGATGAACATTCTCGGATCAGGTGTTACCGACGAGGAGTTGAAGAGCCAGATTCATAACTTTGAAAATGTTCGGAGGCTCAAGTCCCAAGAGGTTGAAAGAATCAAACACCAGCTTGAAAACGAAAAGGACAATGAGACAGCTCTCCGTCGAAAGCTCAAGACCATCGAAACAAACCGTGTTACTTTGGAAGCTGAAGCCAAGGTTAGTATTGGAATTTAGGATACAGCAATACGGTTCGCTCAATTCATCCGTACCTTGAAAACTGCAGGTGCACGGAGACAATGTCACGGAGAGGGAGGCCATTATTCGAACATTGGCGGAAGCTCACTCCATCCAGATTTCCGTGCAATCACCTCTGAAGGAAGATGATATCGACTACTTTATTCGTCGCTTGAAGGGCCTGCAGCAACGTCACGTTGCGGAAACTGAGCGTAGTCAAGTGTGTCATTTCTTTGATTCCTTATCTGAGTGGCGACTAGAACTGTTTTGCAGGAAGTATTGAATAGCAAAAACGCCGAGTATGCCAACAAAATTGCCGACCTCCGCTCTCAAGTCAACTCCCTCCATCGGGAACGGGACAACGCGCAAGCTCGTATTTCAACTCTCCAGACAATGATCGAAAATGCAGAAGGGGATATTGACAAGTCAAAGAACATTGCTTCGCTTCTCAAGTTCAACAATGATGACTTGGAGGATAAGAATAAGAGGCTTCAGAGAATCAATGACATGATAGCGGGGGCCAAGTTCGAGTCGAAACTCAGCGCCGTAAACAAGGAGATCCAGAAGACTGAGGGAGAGCGCGAGGCTTTGTACACCGAGCAGAGCAGAGCCAGTTTACAGGCGAACGCTAGGGCTAAGCTTGAAGTGCAGAAGGCTGATCTGAAGAAGAAAAAAGCCGATGTGGATCGAATGTGAGTAACCGGTTACGATGATTGAAATCTCCATATTCTGAAACCTCGATTTTCAGCCTTACTACACAAGGCGACAAATTCAGAGCTCTAGTCGATGTCGATCCTCAAATCGAAACCATGGAAACCGATGTAGACGGTGCTTTGAGGTACGTGCCGCTTAGTTTCGGCAGGACCTGCTACTAATGTTTCCTATCAGTACTAAGAATCGCGAGCTAGTGCGGTTGGAAGCTGAACTTGGCAAAGCTAATCGTGAACACCTCGAAGCTCAAAGCACTCTGAACCGATCGAAGAAGGAACTCACAGATAAGAGGGCTGAAGTGACGAGTACGTCCCCTACGCTTATTTGGCATTGGCATAATTGACAAAAGTCTTTTCCAGGCTTAACAAAGAAGATCGAGCATGCGGCCAATCTGAATCTCGATGAAGGAGCCGATAAGTTAACTCTCGGAGAGGCCATTGAGGACGCCAAAGCGGAACTGCAAAATTGCCAAGAGTAAGTCCCTTCATTAATGACTTCTTCAAGCTTGGATACATTGTTGTCCCTTCAGAACGGCTGGACGGATCCAAGGTGTTGGAGACTTTTTCGTGAAGATGCTTGAGGATGGTAAAAAGAACAAGAAATGCGGTGTCTGCGACAGAAAACTCACTGGAAAAGATATGGATGCATTCGAAGAGACGGTACGCAACGAAGTCCGTGAATTCCCATGTGATCTCATACTTTATAAACCAGGTCAAAGCCAAAATTGAGGAGACCAGACAAGAGAAGATAGAGGAGAACTCGCTCGATCTTGACAACTGGACGAGAGAGCTCAAGCGATTGCAGGACTTCCTACCCATGGAAGTAAACCTCAACAAAATCAAGAAGGAACTTCCAGAACTGGAAAAGTCCCTTGATGCAATGCATGACAAGGAGAAGGTAGCTCAAGCAGTAGTCGACAAGGTTCGTCTTTATAACGGGATATTGGGACTTGAAAAACAAACTCAAGGGATGTTCTTAGGTCTCCGCGCAAGTGGACAAGGTGAAACGTGATATTGGTGATCTGAATTCCCTCCTCGATCAAGCGAAGAACGTGACGCGTACCGCCGACGAGCTCAAAGGATTAAGGAAGAATGTTACAGAACTTGAAAGAGAGCTGCAATCAACCGGATCCTCCAGAACAGCTGCCGATATTCAAGGCGAACTTGACGCTCTCGCTCAAACACTGTACGTCATAAGCTGCCAGTTATTGACAGTTTAGTGACAGTTGGCTATACAGGAAAAACCTTGGTCGGGAGAAGCAAAGCATCATTGATCAGCAAGCTCAGCAGCTTAAAGAACAGCGGAGTGTGGAGCACGATATCCATGAGTTGGAGATGAAAGGCAAAGGTCTTCAGCAAAAAGAACGTGAAGTCGAGTTGTTGAAGGAGAAGGTGGACGAAGCAAGGAAAGAAATCGCCGAGCAGAGAGCCAGCATCCCGGTGAGTAGGGATAACACATGTCCCGTTTGGTAACAGTACTTAATGAAGCGCGAATGTAGGAATTTGCCAACAAAGCCGGGAAGATGCAGTCGTTGATTGTGGACATTCAGTCTCAACAGAAAGAGGAGGAGAAGGACCTGAAATCGAAGCTGAATCTTGCGCAAGAGAAACTGGCCTTCCTGAATTCGAGCGTGCAAGACGTGGACTCGATCTCCAACAAAATCACTGCGTAAGTAATATTCGCATTGGTTCGTGAGCTGAACTCATATCGCCCATCCCTTAGCTATATGAAAGAGGACAAGGCTCAGAAATTGCTTGATGCAATAAAATCAGCGGCTGACATGGAAGCTAATATTCAAAACGCTGTCGCTCTTCTCGAGAGCAAACGGGCAGATTTTGCAGCAGCTCAAAAGGAAATCGATCTAGGTGGTGCGAAATTCTCCAATCTGCGCGATAATCTGCGTCTCAGGAAGCTTAGAAGGAGGATTGAGGAAACTGAGACTGAGCTAGAAGCCATTCCTATGGAGGAAGCCGCCAACTCGCGTCGCACCTTTGATCTGAAATGGGAAGCCATGAGCATGAAGGAAAGGAACATCAAAGATAAGGTACGTTGATGTACCGCTTCAGCCTCTTCGTCTCATTCATTTGCATCGTAGCTTGCTGGCTTGATCGGAGGAGTAGGAGCAGATAAAGCACGACTGGGGAAAGACAAGAAAGACATGGCCACCGATTTCAAGAATATTGGGAAGCGATACATGGACCAACTCGTCAAAGTGAAGATGTCTGACATGGCAAACAACGACCTGGAAAAGTACGCCAAAGCCCTGGATAAGTGAGTGCGGCCGTTAATGGCGGTGTATCCAGCTGACGAGTTTGCGTAGTGCAATCATGAAGTACCATAGTTTGAAGATGGAGGAGGTTAACGATACGATGAGACACTTGTGGAACAAAACCTATCAAGGTACTGATATTGATGGCATCATGATTCGCTCGGAGGGAGAAGGTGGCGCTTCGAAGCGGTCGTACAACTACCGGGTATGTTCTAACTAAAGGCTATGGTTGATGGAAAGCTCAATCATCTTCACTTAGGTGGTAATGATGAAGGATCAAGTGGAAATGGATATGCGAGGTCGCTGTAGTGCTGGGCAGAAAATGCTTGCTTCGATCATCATCAGGTTGGCATTGTCGGATTCATTTGGACAGGATTGCGGAATCCTGGGTATGTTGGTTTGTATTTTTGCTTGTGTATGGTTGCACTTATAAATACTCTTTCATAGCCCTGGACGAGCCCACGAATGCTCTTGATACCGAGAACATCGAGGCATTGGCTGCAAGTTTAGTGGAGTAAGTCCTTGCGTCTGACGTGGATTAATCGGAGAATTTATACTAGACTTTGCAGAATCATCAATGAGCGCAAGAGAGCAAAGAACTTCCAGCTCATCATTATCACCCACGATGAAAACTTTTTGAGGAAACTCGGTGAGAATGGGGTCATCCAAGAGTACTGGTAAGACAATTGCTATCAATGAGCTGATTGAAAATACTAACACCATACTTAGGCGAGTCACCAGAAATGACAAGCAAAAGTCAGTTATCGAGAAGCATATGCTGATGTAAGGAAACCGTCGCTGTGTTACCTGTAGCCTTTCATGAATTCCTGGAAATGTAATTTATAAGTTCCGATGTGATTGGTCAGCTGAGCAATTGATCAAGTGATGTATAACGTTGGGTCCATCAAATCCTAACGACTCCTTATGTCAGTGGTAGACAGTCAGATTCCAGATCTCAATGGAGTAATCCAGAGAGTCACATCCTGAAAGTCGTCCGTTCGATCCGGGCAGGGGTCACTTTTTGCATCTTTACGCTTAGGATATGTGAATTTTGTCTCAAGGATGTGAGGGTGTAGTGGGGGAACTTGACTACAACATGCTATTAAACTTTTGCAGCGCGCGGACCAGATCGATATGGTACATATGTAGTCGTATTGAGTGAGCTAAACAGGTAGAATCGAAGTTCTCAATTTGTCTTTTCCGGGAAAAAAATCGGCACGAATGTAGCGGTGAAATCGAGGAACGGTAAAGTCGGTTCGATCTCCGCTCTTTATCATCAATTAACCCAAATACACGACGCAAATGTTGCTCTCAAAATGTCCACACCGATGCCAGATGATCGTATTGTTTCCGTGGATGGAAGTAAGCTAGAAGGAGGAGGACAAATATTGCGCAACGCATTCGCGTACAGTGCCCTCTTAAAGAAGCCGATCTTCGTTGAAAACATACGAGCGAACCGAACTCCCCCAGGCTTGAGACCGCAGCATGCTACAGGTGAAGTACCCCACATTCTTCTAAGCGATGACTATATTTATGTATATTACTACAGGTCTGCAACTTGTATCAGTGGTTTCGTCTGGCAGTCGACTGTCAGGCGCGGAGAAGGGCTCATCCACTGTGGAATTTCATCCAGGCCAATTAATACGTGGAAAACATTACGCAGCAGATCCTGGAACAGCTGGGGCTGTCTCATTGTTACTCCAAATAACCCTTCCGTGTCTCTTGTTCAATGACTCGGAGGACAATAACCAGACTTTGACAACAAAGCTGACTCTGGAAGGCGGTACAAACGCCACTCTGGCACCTCCAATTGACTATGTCATACATGTTTTCTTCCCTTTCTTGAAACATTATTTCGGTATTGAACCGAGTATAGAATTGAAGAAGAGGGGTTACTATCCAAAAGGCGGTGGCGAAGTTCTTGTCTCCGTGCCGACATTACCTAGGGGCCGTGCATTGCCTGGGCTGTCATTGCTTGAACGCGGTGCTGTGACTAGTATAGAAGGCAATGTCTATGTCTCGGGAGTCCTACCTACTAGACTTGCTGAAGAGGTGGCTTCAGCTGCTATAAATCGCCTAAAGAGCGCAGGCTATGAGGATGGAAAGAATGGGATTGTTGTAAAGATAGACGCCGCCAGGGATGATAACGCCCTTGGAAGTGGATTGGGTATCACCCTGTGGGCTAATACCGACAAGGGTTGCATAATCGGAGCCGACGCGCTCGGGGAAAAGAAGAAGAGTGTTACTAAGGTCGGAGAAGAGGCTGCGGATGAGCTTATTGTTAATCTCTCTCATGGAGGGTGCGTGGATGAATACCTTCAGGTTGGTCATTTACAATTCTCCCAGGTTTATACGATCGAATGATTTGATGCCACTTTGGTTATAGGATCATTTGATTATTTTTATGGCGCTAGCCAAGGGGGAGTCGAGTGTCCGGTGTGGACCTTTATCAATGCACACGAGGTACCCGAATACTGACGCGAGTGATGTAAAAGTGTGTACTGAAAGGATTCCTTAGAACAGCAATATGGGTGGCTGAAACAATGACGGATGCTCGATTTAGCACGTTCGAAGACGAGAATGGACAAGTGGTGATCAAGTGTGTTGGTATTGGGTATGGGGAACAGGAACAATAAGGAATAAAGGGATCAAGGGGAGACAGGATCGTGCCGCGTGGATTATTTCTCCAAGAGGAAATCACAATGAATACGAAATTGACATTATGAGATATGATTTGCCAGGTAATAGCGCGGCTTTAAATGAAGAGACAAAAAAAAGTGTAAAAGTTTGGAGGAACGTGGCCTTTTTCGGGGACAACGACCGTAATCGCCGTGATTAGGACTCATCTTGGAAGGTGCGGATTCAAAGGTTGCCCACCACCCCGACTTGCATTTTTCTTTCTTGATTTGAATCGTACGACGACTGGCCATGACCTCTCCGACGCCTCCAGACATGTCTCAGCTCTCCATCTCCACCAGCGGTCATTCTGTTGGTGCGAGAGACTACGATGCCTTTAACGACCAGCCAAAATATCACTACAGCACCTCTCCTCCCGTTCATTCTGCCAACGCAAACGCTTCTCCTCCTTATCAATACGCTCAAGCTTCGTTGGGTCCTCAAAACGCAAAGAAACAGGCTCGCTCAGGTCTTCCGACGGTAAGCAAAATTCTTCTTTTTGCTCGCTTTTTTTTTTTTAGTGAAAACTCATCTGCTCGCTGCACTAGCAATGGCTTGATCACTCTCAACCTCAAATCCCAGAAGTACGCGCTCTCTCGCCTCCTCAGCAAAGTGACGTGTCCGTGTCGTCTAGCGGTGGCTCTCCTCCATCCATCCACATCCAGCAGCCACATCTTTACGGCACCCCCAACGTCCAGCAACCCGGTTCCCAATTGCAGTCTGCCGTAGACGATGACATTATTCCTACCGCCATTGTTATCAAAAACATTCCTTTCACCGTAAAAAGTGACACGCTACTCGGCATCATCGTAAGTTCACGCGTCCCCATCAACCCTTGTCTATCATCGTACTTACGTTTGTGTCGCGTTTTCCCCAGGCGTCCCTCAATATCCCTACTCCCTACGCGTTCAATTACCATATTGACGCCCAAGGACAATTCCGTGGTCTTGCTTTTGCAAATTTTAGACAGCCCGCCGACGCCGACGCCGTTGTTGCCGCCCTCAATGGCTTTGACGTACAAGGCCGCAAACTCCGTGTCGAATACAAGAAAGTCCTCCAGGCGGGTGAAAAGGAACGCATCGAACGCGAAAAGGCCATTAGACGCATGAGGAGCATGCAATTGGAAAAGGAGCGCGACACCTTTAATCGGGCCTCGATTGGCGCGCCTACAGTCCCACCATCCCAGAATTGGGATGAATTTGGTGCTGTTCATCCGGTTGGAAGTAGTGCGCTTGCAGGCAGCCAAGGGAATGGCAACTTGAGTCCCATCGGTGATGGCGCATACTCTCCTCCAAGCCTCCTGCAAGGAATATCCCCATCCCCCAGTAGAAGCTACTCTGGGCTCGGACTGCAGCAGTCATCGATAGGGATTCCCTCTCTTCCGCTTCTCCCCGGTCAACAGCCATCCTCGTTCCCATCTTCTCCCCCAGCGAAGCAGGGTGCGGTGAACGAGCTTGATCTCAATGACCCCTCTACACTTGATATCTACTCTAGAATTCTTGTATTCAAGGAGGATCGCATGAGGGATGAGCTTGCCTTTAGTCGCACTCTCAGCCCAAAGCAGCGCCGTATTGTTCACTTGGTGGCTCAAAGGCTTGGAGTCTATCACTACAGTGTTGGGGAAGGTGATGAGCGATACGCTGTTGTCACACGCATTGATCGTGAAAACGCGCCCCGCAGGACCCTCCATCGAGCCCCATCCGCTTATCTCACTCCTTCACCATCCACATTGCAGGGCCCGAGCCGCAATTCCACACTCTCACCCACGAGGAATGGCGGGGCGCCAAGTCTTCGGGCTAAACAGTCAATGCCGGATCTCTCCTCACTCCGACTCTCAAGCCAAGCCTCCAATCCAAACATGAGGGAACAATTCAATAGTAATAACATGAGAGAAGGATTCAACACCATCAACACCAGCACATCTCCACGACGTACACGTGTTGTTGACAATTTTGGCAGTCTGTTTGGTGGGGTAAATGGTAGTGGCTCGAATGCTGGAGGAAATGCAATTCCTCCTGTTCCAGCCCTCCCTTCATCCATCGCTTCCCTCTCAAACAATGGAATCAGCTCTAGCGTGGAGAGTGGAGTGTTGAGACAACCTAGAGGACCTGGCGCTGGCGTCAGTGGATTCGGGGCAAGGAGACCTACCGCAGAAAGTCGTACTGGTGGCATCACTGGCGGATTAGACACCAGGACTCATGAAGCCCTCGAGATATAAACATCGGATGCTCATGGTGCATGTGGGCTGCGGGTTGAGATCTTTTCCTTGATGGTGACGAAGTAGCGCTCTCCTTAGCTGTTCGGTGATTTTTTTTGGTACTAACGACTTCATTTCACCATCTACCTCATGATACACATCTCATTCGCATCCAACTTACATCCCTCGCATTCCCCAATTCTATACAACAATAGCTATTCATAACAATTTGTCATTTTTTTACTACTTTGAGTTTACTAAAATCTCGGATTTCATATTTTGTTGATTGGATACATCGAGTACGTTGTCTTCTGCAGAGGTTTCGACGGGTCTATCTTCTTTTTTTTGGTTTCACTTCGCTTTGTTAGCTCCCCTCAAGTAACATATCTTCACCATTTAGTTCTGTCGCGGGCAGCTAGGACTGCAAAGGTTTCAACCCCTCCGCTTGCTCGATTCTTGACCCCTGCTGACTATTCTATCGTACCCGTTGCCCTCTCTGCTTTCTTCTTTTATCCGTTTTGTTGCAAGGCTTTGTGCATATCTTTGTTGCCACATTCATCGTACCAACATTCTGTCCAGTCTCTAATTCAAAGATGACTGACTTTTTAGTGATATAAAGCGCAAGCAGACGTAATTAGAGCAACGACTTGTGGTGTATTGCATTGACTAGGGGAGAAACACAAGCCACCAATAGAACGAAATGTAGCTACACAAACTTAAAATAGCAAGGCTGAGGGTGGGGAGATGGTTCACTGTCACGGCCAGCTGACAAGGAACAAAGGGGGTTTAGAAGTGTTCCTAAGACAAGAGCAAGTCAATAACACATCCGACGAGTTGTGTAAGATGAAGAAGTACCTTGTAGAACTTGAAATCCACTGTCTCTGTCGAAGCAGCACGTGTTTCTTCTCGGAGTACCTTGGCCATTGCACCAGGCTATAACAGGCAAAGTGTGGCACAATTAGTTGAGACATTCTTAACTTTATTTTTATGAGTGCACGTACCCCGCAGAAGTATGTACCAACTTTGGTCTTCAAGCTTGCTTCCCTTCCTGGTAGATAAAGTCCTTGCTCGATGGCCATCCTTAACCTTGAGTAGACAGATTTCCAGTCTGGTCGACCGTACATGGTTCGGGTCCTGAGAAGAG